ATCTTGACATGAACTATTTGAATCAGATATCAAATAAAAGCTATTATTAGTTTAATTAAACCAATACAATTATTATGATTATTCTGTCTAATTTAAGGTACCTAAGATAAAAATTTAGTTTAAAATGCTACTCATTTTCGAAATATTTGAAAAATTTTAAGGAAGTTAAGTTGTATTTAGATTTTCTATATACCCAAAAGAATTCAAGGTAAAGTTAAGTAAGTATTATGAAGTACTATTTTCACAAATTGAATATAATGAGTAAATATATGACGCTGAATTTATGCATTAACTAAAATTATGATTTATATAATTAAAATTATCTCGATATTTGAGATCATTACTAAAAATTTAAATCTAAGAGTTAGTAAGTAAAGCAAAATATTCGTTATTTATTGAAGCAATTAATTAGTAATTCTGAATATTAGAAATGTTACTAGACTATTGAAAATATTAAGTTAAACTACAATATTAATTTTAAGCTATGGATTTATTTAGTTAACAATATCCGACTTATCTGTCAAGAATTAGATCCAATGGATATGTGAATAATTTAGTTTCATGGATTATGTAGTCTTTATTTAGATTAATTGATAAATTTCTTTAATTCAAAAATACTGTGAAGTTTGAATAAAAAGTTGCAGTTTAATTTGGAGTTGATTAATTAGTATTGCTATTTAATGCTGAAGTTACAGTATAATTATAGGTTAATTAAGGATAACTTATTGAAATGTTGTTAAATATGTAATTGGATTATTAATAAGTTAAATTAAACTGTTGTTAATTAGAAAGAATATAGAAAGTATTGTTAGTAATTATTATTGATTATTGATTGTTTAAATTAAATTACTCAGTACATTATATAGGTGATGTGAATTCTAACAGATAATATAAACTCATATGATATGGAAATGAAGGATTATAAACATAAACAGTTTAATTACTAAAAGTAACATAAAAGAATATGTTATCTGATTAAATTGTTATATTATGATCAAAATTGACACTATATAGATTCTTTACATAATAATATTTTGGTAAATTTTACACATTCCAAACTTAGAAGCAAATATTCTTTCGATTATTACATATATACGACAGTATTAATTATTAGTTTACTAAATTTATCTATTCAATTGTAAAATTGACTTCAATCAAGGAAATTGGTATTGGAAAACTATTTTAATCTATTGATATTATTATCACTTCATTGATATTGTTGATATATACAAAAGATGATTATAATTATGTATTCACAACTATTTATATAGGATTAAACTTAATGTTATTGAATAATTTATTTATTGACTATTAATTTAAAGTATAAGTAACTGTATAATTGAATGTTAATATTTTTATTTCTTATTTTGAAATTAGAATTATTATACTATTATAAGTTACTAGAAAGCTTGAGTATTTTTTATGAAATTTATAATTTGAACTAATGATACTATTGTTAACATAGTAGTACTAAATCAAATATATTGTATCATTAGTACTGAGACCAATTATAAGCATACTAGGATCTAGGCTAAAGGCAACTTATAAAGAACTTGCATTTACAGAAATGTTAATTGATTTTAATAGGGTTAATTACGAAGAATAATTTTTGAAGTTAAAAGTGAAATTATATATATCAAGTTATTAATTATTATATCCTATTAAGTTTTAAAGGTTCTTTACTACTAAAATTTATACAAGTTAATAAGCCTAATTAATTTTACCATAATTTGATAAAGTTATTGGATTAATACTAAAATAGGGTTCATTTTTATTTAAAGTAAAAACCAAATGTTTGAAAAGAACTTTATAAAAAATTTAAATTATGAAACCCATAAGTGGACATTACATAAATATTTGTATCTTACTTAGATAGTATTTATAGATTTATATTAATTAGACTAAAAATATATTTCCCATAATTGAAACACATTAAATTAAAGTAGGATGAACTTTCTGGAGTTTCAGATTTAGTCAAGTTGATTTATATGGACGGTTGCGAAATTTAATAAACAAAAATTTCTTTATCAAATTAAAATAACTCATTATTGTTGTTGAAATATAATAGTTAATTACTTTGATTATTTTGATAAAAGTAATATGATTATTTTTATTCCTTTTAATAAATAGCCGTTTCATAAATTGATTTATAGATTATGAATTAAGCATTTTAGAGTATTTTCTGAATAGACTGACAGTTTTTAAATGGGCAATCATAATTT